GTTTATCTGTACCAAACAGCTTCACTCTAAATACTTTAGCTCCATTACTACAGCAACAGTTCCAATACTTTTTGATTAGACACATATATATATATATATATATATATATATATATATATATATATATATATATATATATATAATTAAATAAAAATTATTTCTTGTGCAACTCGGAATTTAATATGCATAATTACATGCAAAGGTTGCTAAGAGCATTACATTGGTCAAACCGGTCAGTCACTCTGTCAAAGGATGACAGTACATCAATTAGAGACCCCCAAACCAGAAAAATTCCCCTTAGCCAACAAATAGAGGAATACGAGGACAAAATCTGACTAATTTTAGTATCTTCTCATTCTAAGAGTGTGACTACAGAACCAGTGAGCAAAGGCGGATTAATAAGGAAAGATTTTTCATCAACAAGTTCAAACCAAAACTTAATTCATTGCATAAATAGAGTCTACCAAATTTTCTTTATCATAAGTGACATATATAGCCAGTTACACACCTTGATTATTTAATTTTTTTCATTTGTTCAAAACAAGGATCAACTCGGAGATACAGTGAAAAATTCTTTGAAAAGCTAAGTAAAACCAGTTAAAGTAAAAAAAAAAAACAAAAAAAAACACACACTAAAAATCCAATTGTAATCACAAAGTTTTAAATTTTCTCTATAAAAATAGATATATTATAAATAAATATAAGGTGCCTTTTTCTCAATTCTCATTTTAGTCTATACAACAAATTTTTGTATAGAACTTTTCTAACAATTTCATTTAAAAAAAAAAAAAAAAAAAAATCATACATACATACACAAATGTAGGCAAGTATACAAACACCTATTATATACACATTTGTACAAGTGTATATGTGAATGATATTTGAAAATATGTATAAGATGTGAATAAATTATACCTAAATTATATTTGTGGGTCATACTGGAGAATGTACACGTGTAAATATCACACACACACACTAATGGAGTAAATGTTATTGAGGAAAATACTGTATACCAGGAAATTTGGAGATATATAGGTATGGGTTTTGGTTTAATTCTCTTATTAATATTATTGTTATTATATATGACTGGAGTGTATCAGGATATATTTGGTATGTAGGAGAAAGGTGGTTTTTGTTCATGTGCCGAGTACATGGAATAATGTTATTGGATACATCAAAGACTTATATTTAAGTATGGACATTTTCAATGTTGGGGATATGAAAAAGTGCCTGGTGTGTGTTTAAGATCCAGATACCTGCTAATAATATACCTTTAAAAAAAAAAAAAAAAAACATTTCATTTCAAGCAAGGTAGGAATGCCACTAGTATGCAGGGGTTTACAGAGAGTGAAGGCAAGAGAAAAGACTGGGTATACAAGGGACCAAGGATAGGATAGAAGCTGAACAGGGTTCAAGAAGATAGAAGATGGTGATTAACATTGCATTTAAATTTTTGAAGATTGTAGCAATCAAGTATGTCTTAAGTCTTTCATATATCCACTTTTATTATTCTGTATACCATTAACTCACAGTGAACAGGAGAAAGTTCCTGAACCACAACTTCTCCAGTCATTAGCTTTTTGTTTCCAGATGAAACATGACAGATTTCTTCTACAGCAATATTTTTTTTTTTTTTGCTAAGGGCATTAATTCTCATTTTTTATACTTCTTGGATTTTGATAGGGGCAACAATTTGGTAAGGGCTTGGTAACATTAAATGTACCCAATATTTGAAGAGTGGCTAAAATCTCGATTAACTCACATTTTAATTTCTAATTTAAAATTAACCTGGCTTAACCTTCTCAGTGACTTCTTAGCCATAATTAAAAAAAAAAAAAAAAAAAAATTTTTTTTGCTTATTTTTATTTATATTGAAATTTTCCAGTACCTGTGGCAATTAATCAGATACTAATGTTGTCAAGGTAAAACATGATGTTCAATTACCAAAACTAAAAAGGTACAAGCCACAGCTGATAAAATTCATGCAGTCATTCTTTCTCTTAGTGGCAGACCAACTGTCAGCTGATTGATTGTTACTACAAAAACCAACCTTTTCAAGTTGAAAGCCAGGCATGATGAAACACATTTAGATCAATATGCAAAACATCCCAACAAGTATTTTTGGAAATGCCAAAAATTTAAGACATTTAAAAAGTTTGCAGTCTTAACTTTAGAAATAAAGGAAAACATTTCCTATTAGATTGTTTTAGTGGAGGGGGGACCTTTAACTGCCAACATTAACAAAACAAAAATTTTAGTCAGTAAGCAGAGTTAAAGTTCCAGCCTAGTTTGTTGTATTCACTTTGCACAAATACCCTTGGCAAAGGCATGAATACATCTATTTCTTCATGCTAGCAGGTATAGAGTAAAGTAGATTTTCTAGCCTTGAGTGACAGTATAGGTAAAGGACATCTGTACTCAAAAGTGTGGAAAGGCAACAAAATCCATTCCACTGCAATCCTGAAAAAGGCATGGTAACTAATTAAAGGAAGCGGTGGAAAGCCCTGATCACTAGCATACTGAAGGAACATGGCAAAAACAAAATGTTTGGCATGTGAACTGGTACAAAGATTTTGAGAACAATAATCTTAAGTTTTAAAGCTACAGTAGGAATTTTCATTAAGATTTAGCACAAGGAAATGTATTGTTAGATGTGACATTTGAGAAAATTTCTCAAGTACAATGAATTGTACATGTTCAACATGAAATAATAATAGTCAATTATTCAATAGTGTTTTATTTCTTAAACTTAAGTCAAGAAATTTAATAAACACTGCATTAAAAACATATTCTGTTCTATTCAGGAGAGAAAAATCAAATATTTTGTTAAGACTTTTGCAACCTAAATGTTAGTTTTCACTGCAGTAATATTAAGGGAAAAAAAAAAAAATGTACCATAAGTTATAATAAAAATAGTAAGCGATGGGGTGGGGGGAGAAAAGTGGAGGAATCCACTCTGGTTTAATATTCAACAAAGCAGTATTCACTGCGCATGAAAGAAAGTGAAGGGAATCGATTTGACACTGTATCGATATTTTAAACAAGACCCCCTTCTAAATCGATAACGAATCGATATTTTTTCGATTACGAAAAGTGTCGCGGCCTAAAGAATGCTTTTAAAAATATATTTTCCATTTTTTTTTTTTTTTTTTTTATGATTGGACCAGTTTAGTGTCAAAGTGAAAATTATCACCAGTTCTCAGAAATTTGTTAATGATACATACGATTAATAATAATTCCAATTTCCAAGCAAAGCATAGGTTTTTGTTTTTTTTAAAAAAAAAAAAAAAAAAAAAGCAAATTTTGATTAAGTTTAAATTAGGCACTTGGATAATCATCCTAAGAGTTTGTATTCGGTAATTAGAGATTTCCCTCCAGTTTTCGAACATCAAATTTTGCCTTGTAGGCTCTTTTAAGCGGTAATTTTCCACTTAAAGGAACAAGTTAATTTATATTGAAATTTTATATAAAGAAAGAATAAAAAAAAAAAAAATGTTCAACTAGAACGTTAGGAAATACTAGTGAACATTCCCTAAAAATTGCAGCTTAAGTAGTACACACCCTTGTTTTAAATTACATTTGTTGCCCTGTAGTAGTTATAAACACTAAATAAATTGACAGGACAAGGAGAGAAAAGAAATTCTTTTCGTCATTATAGTAGACAAGCTAACACGTGCTGAGCTTGGTTTCATGATAGGAAATAAAGCAACAACGGCTTCAGGTCCACCACCTTGATATCAAAGCAGTGTGTAGCGGTATCAGCAATGATTAGTTAGAGAACATATGGGATTTGTTGAGGAATGTTAACAGTGAATTGAATATCGTATCGACAAATACAATTGTTTATATAGAAAAGAGCACTTTGTTAAAATAAAAAAAATGTTTGTCACAATGTTTAAAAAAGGAAAAAAAAAAAAAAATAAATAAAATAAATAGTTTTACTTTTGTTTATTTAAAAAATAAAACAAATGGAATAATTATAAAACAAAAAAATAAAGCCTAAAAAGTGTTGAATGTTTATAAAAAACGAGTTAAAAAATAAAGATAAAAACCCCTAAAAGCAGCCTTAGTGAAAAAAAATTGTTGCACAATATTTATTACACGAAAAATACATGAATGGTTGGTTTCAGTTCAGGGGTTTCATAATTCTTGAGGGGCTGATTTTCCTTGGTCTAATTCCATCGTATTAAATTCAGAATAGTTAGTAAACAATAATAAACATTCTTACATTTTCATTATTTGGATATATGACAGGGACTGTAATTATTAAAAAATATAAAAATAAATTAAACTTAAACGACATTAAGTGAAAATCTTAAAAAAACAGGATAAGCAATAATGCACTTGAAAAGGCTTTAAAAATGTAACAAAAATATTCTCATACTTAAAGAATTTTTTTTTTTTTTTTTAACCCTGATTAAATAAAATACATTTCATTCAAAAAATAATGAGGGCGTTGACACAATAGAAAGAAAATAAAAAGGGAAATTAAATATTTTTTTAAAAAAAGCTTAAGTTCCGTATATTTAAAAAGAGAAAATATAATCTGAAAATATCCTTTTTTATTTTACAGAAACTAGAACAATTTCATTTCATTTATTAAAGAAACAACTCTAAATGATTTTTTTTTTTAGTGAACAAAAAAAAAGGGGAAAATTAATGAAAGCATTAAAAAAAGAATTAAAAAAAATGAATTTATGCTATAACTGAGACATTTTTTATTTTTTCCCTATCATTTCTTTAATACAGACCAAAGATAAAATAAACAGTTTTTTTCTTTAAATAAAAGCAAATAAACGATAGAGACCAAACTTTTAAATAAAATGATCAGGAGAAACATGAAATACGGCCTAACAACAGTCACACGATTGGGACGACCGACGGCAAACAATACACTTTGAATAAATAGAAGAATAAAATTACCCACGCTACTTAATGTACGGTACTACGTTACATAAACAAAAATAAAGAAAATAAAATAAAAGAACTTAAAAATCTACCTTATAATTGTCAAAGCCGGCCAGGACTCGCGGCGTCAATCCAACCAAACCAGCCATCTTGATTAGAGCAGACAGTCTCTGGGTATGCGCCTGCTCATAGTTAGTCAGTCGACCAATCAGAAGCTCTGTTACATCGCCGTCGAGCGAATTGAAGGAAGAGGGTGAGGCGAAAGATATGTTTCTTTCCATTCAAATATCCTCCAACAATTTTTTTTTTAAATGTTAGCAAGAAAAGCGGAGATTCAAAAATGAGTCTGGTAGGGATTTTTTTCGACACACACTTTGTCTTGTTACCTCCCAGAAACCAGTAATACTTTCAATTTGCCTTTCACAACTTAACACTTGATCATAAATGCGCCAAGAAGTGTATTTGTATGTTTTCTGTATGTACTGGCTGTAACTTTTTGCAATACTAGAATTACCTCCCTTACGCTAGCGACACGAGGTGGCAGTGTTATGACAATGGCAAATTGTTCTGACATGACATGTTTACGTTGTAGGAAAATGAAAATGGCAACACAGCAAGAATAATTATTAAAATAAATAAACAATTATTAAAATAATTATTAAATAAATATTTAAAATAAATAAATATTTAAAATAAACAAATCTTCTAATAATGATAATGAGTTAACATGATATGCTGTTATTTTAGACAACATAGATAACTTATCTGTCAATATTTCTGAGATGAGGTATTGTAATTATTTACATTATTTACATTGTTCGAGTTGTTGTCCTCATCTTTATTGCCATATTCACGATGTTTCGGCCGCTGTACGCTCCGGCCTTCTTCAGGTGATTGGAATTTTGAACTGAACCTTTATTTCGTCCGCCGAGATAGATTGTTCTAGTTCCACAGACCATGCCTCTTCCGGATGTCTCAGCTTTCTCCCTTTAACTCAACTGTCCAAGTTTTTGTTTGCCACTGAAGTAGTCGGGTATTGAACTCACAACGCTTTTGTGTTAAGTCATTGGATCCAACCAAAGGAAAATACGGAATCAGCACATAATGCTAAGTCAAAAAAAGTTCCTAAGCTGGCCAAGCGTGAAATTAATACAATACGGAATGCTAGAAAAAAGCAATAATAACACCAAAATTGCAATATGAGCCCCGGTAAAAAAAAAATTACCTACTGAGACATTAAGTCCTCCGGTGGATGAAATAAAGTGTTCAGTTCGAAATTCTAATCGTCTGAAGAAGGTCGTTGTGAATATGGTAATAAAGATGAGGACAACAGTCCGAACAATGTAAATCGATAAATTAGCACACACACACACACACACACACACACACACACACACACACACACACACACATATATATATATATATATATATATATATAATTATTCACACAAAACTAATGCAAAGGTTAATGCTTTAAATGGCGAGACATCCATCATCGCAAACAATTCAAATAGTATACAAAAACCTCCAAATCCGTTATGAATGAATTGATCCTTGTTTATATAAATTTCTGCCGTATTAGTTGTTATTTTTACTACAAGCTTTCGTCTGTTCCTACAGACATCTTCAGGTATAAAATAGATGTTGTTCTTGTTTTTTTCTCTTAGTAATAAGAGGACAACGAAAATATATGTGTTGTTGTATCCGAAAATGCTATTGAAAATGAGTTATTGGTTTTTGAACGCGCCAAAGCAACGCTGAGTTTGATTTTAAATTTTTAAAGTTTGTGCGTTCATACAAAATATGGTGATGAACAAATTTTTTTTACTGGTAAATTTTTCTGTCAAAGTGGCATGAACTATATTGTTCAATAATTACAGTAATGTCGCACTTATTATCCAAAAGTCGCACTTGGATCAGTTATTTAAATTACAATAAACGTGCAATCAATTTACAAATACATGAATTATTCACACAAAACTAATGCAAAGGTTAATGATTTAATTTGCGAGACATCCATCATCGCAAACAATTCAAATAGTATACAAAAACCTCCAAATCCGTTATGAATGAATTGATCCTTGTTTATATAAATTTCTGCCGTATTAGTTGTTATTTATATGTAAGAGAGAGAGAGAGAGAGAGAGAGAGGCAATAAAACCATTAAAACGCTATGGGTTACTGAATGTGAGAGAATATGACAAAACGAAAACATTAAAGAGAGAGAACAATAAAAGAACTGAAATTCAGGCAGATGATAACGATTGACACTGAATTTAAATTTTTGAAACTCAACGTTAAAGTTGGAAGGGAGTTCTAGGTTCGAGAGAAGAAACTATATATATATATATATATATATATATATATAAAACTTACGGTTACTTCTAGCCATTTCAATTGTAAAATGATGAGACCCAGCTTCAAATCTAGTACTGTGCCCAAATTCGTAAAGTCTAGAGAGAAAAGTAATATTTATTTTGTAAAATACAAAAATGTGGAACAAGGCCAAAAAAGAAGGATGGAGAAGGCCGGTCTTCATCTGTCTTATAATCAAATTTAGCTAGCTTTAATTACTGACCCAAACACACCACAGTATTCGTTACACCAAAACAGCACATTCTTACTTATCAATCTTACTGCAGCCAAGGTTTCTCTGTTCGAATCCCCATATGAGAAGTCTGCCGTGGTGGGCAAACAACTTTTAAATGAAACCCTAATGAATATTGTATATAGTGGAATTAATCATATATGAAATTGTTTATAAAAAGGCACAGGGAAGCTACGTTACAGTTGTGGAAAGTGACTGAAGCAGAGATGCCAAGAACCGATTTTGAGATTCTTCTTCGTATTTTATTAAATGAAGCACGAGACCAGATGTAGCCCAATATCTAATGCACCGACAAATGGTCAAAAGTTTAAGATAGATTCTGGCTAGATATTGTCTGCTTTGACACAGTGAACCCAAACAGACTTAGCAGTTGATTTAATATAATCTTTCAACTTCATGTCTACAGAAAACGTTATCTCAAGAAAGCGCAATGAGTCATTCTCTTGGTGGTTAACATGAGCCATATATAACAGAGTTAGATAAATAGATAGATAGACAGGTAGATCATTTTTATAATCTTAATTAAAGATTATAAAAAAATGATTAAATTGCTCAATGAGTAAAAGCCATTTAAGATCGTATTAAAATATATTTCGGTATGATTGGGCTCCTCAGGATGTAAACGAGTTGCTGTCTTCATCTACATCTTATAAAAAATGCAGAAGCAGAAGTCAGTGTGTCACTGTCAAAATTTTAAATCCTAGAGGATCCGGAATCTGTTCTCAATTTTAGATTTCAGTTTTCATTACTCTAATTGTTTCCGTGAACAATTTTTATAAGTTGGAAATAAATTTGGGACACCCACAATAAAATAATTGTTTGTTAATACGCAAGAAACCTACAAAATTAAGTGGCGTCAAATTCTTACTTCAAAACCTGGCAGGTGGAATAGGAATAGACTACAGAAGAACTCAAAAGGATTGCTGCTTTAAAGCATTACATTAATATTTAAACTCTTTTAAAAGTTCAAAGATTTAGCTAACTGAAGAGATGAATATGCTTATATTCCCCATTAAACCATATATTTTTAAGTTTTTTTCAATTACTTATTTACTCTGTATCATAATATTAACTCTCATATGGACTAAAAATCCAATAAATAATGTATCACCAATTACATTTTGTTATCTAATCTATCTAATCAATTATTGTTACCTTTAGCCACCTCCTGTCTTCAAGAAATGGAAGCCACAAGGGAATCAACAGAGAAAAGACACTGGATTTCAAAATTAAACATTTATTTATAAATATATATATAACGAAACAAAGAATTCATTTAACAAAGGGGAGGACATCAGTAAAGAATAGATAGCGCGAGCGAATACATACATATATGAAAACAGATCGAGCCAAAAGAACCAACTTATCTTGCAGTCCGGCTGGTATCTTCACAGTTTTTGATTCATAAACGAGGAGAGTTTAGAAATGAAAATATTCCTGGATTCTTCTCCGACATATTTTATTAAGAATAGCTCCCTTTCAAACTGGTCGATAGACTTCGTAATCAGAATTTTTGCCCAATGCCGCTGGTCCATGAAAATTGTTTTCAACAATACCGGGTCTAATGGGCGCAAATCACGCCGATGGCAAATGGTGTCCTGAAAGAGACCCTGATGGTGTCTGGAGTTTACTCATGATTCTGGTCACCAGTTCACGGGCCCTTAGAAGAGAGGATAGAGAGAAAGAATAAGAGAAGAGGGGGGGTATGATCATAGAATATATTCGCTCGTGAACCAATCTTTTATTTATCTAAGAAACTTTATTTAAGACTTAGCATATGGTTAATGAAATCGTTGATTTAATATAGATACTTTCAACAATTATCGATGCCTCCTATGTCTAAGTTAGATCGTATTCTGAACAAATGCAACAATAGGCCATTCTTCTTGGTGAAGTTAACATGGTCCATATATAACAGAGATAGATAAATAGATAACTTTTCTATAGACAGGTAGATCATTTTATAATCTTAATTAAAGAAAAACGATCAAGGATTATAAAAAAGTTGAATATCAGAAAATTCTTACAGAACTTGCGATAGAGTGCTCAATGGTCGGGGCTGGGTAAAATTGTATTTTTGCCATTTAAGAAATCACTCGAATAGATAAAATATTTTTCTCGCAGGCAATGGTTCATCATTAAAGTGCATTTTTAAATTAGGGCTCCTCAATGATGTAAAAGTCCGAAAGCAGATATCTCATAGCGCGCGCTCGGTTGGGGCGCATTTACTGGGAATGGGAGTGCAGGTCCGTCTTAGTGACAGAAGTTCACCTTTCGGTTGCTGTCTTTTTAGAAACGATCTTTACACACACACATACATACATACATACGGGTACATCTCTCTACACATCATGATAAGTGTGTGTGTGTGTGTGTGTGTGTGTGTGTGTGTGTGTGTGTGTGTGTGTGTAAAAAATGCGAAGCGAAGTCAGTGTGTCACTGTGTCATACTTTTTCAATTTTAAATCCTAGAGGATCCGGAATCGCAGTTCTCGAATTTTAGATTTCGAAGTTTTCATTACTCCAATTGTTTCCGGTGATTTTTTTTACGTGATTTTTTGCAAAGAATTTTTTGTGATAGGCGATAACAAACTTCTCATAACTTTTATAAGTTGGAAATAAATTTGGGAATAATCGAAATTAAATGCGCAATCTAGAGAAAGTCACCCATG